TGAATATTTCGCGCGAATACTTACGCTAGCGTTCATTAATCGCCCAGTCTGGACATCTCGCTAGTTACGCCATGGATTAACGTACGCCCGGCGTTAGATACGCCTGGCGTATCTTACAGGTCTGAACGTAGCCTATAACTCTGGCATCGACGACATTCTAGGCACACGTGCGTCCCTACACGCTGAACGTCACAAAAACCATAGCAACCAGGCCATAAACCGTCACTGTACGTGACGATTTACCCACGCTCGTGTTAGTTGCCATGATAATCGCGCGTCGTGCGGTGATTACAAAGGCCTAATGATATTTTGCACTAACATTAGACTGAAATGTATTCTTCATTTCAACGTTAATTTTATCAAAATTGTGGTGAATTGTCGTTCATGAGACTCACTTCGCAGAAAAATTAATAAATGTTCTGTATATACTCAAATGTTTGTTTTCGGCACCTTATGCCAACATTGTCAAAATGACAGATTAATGTTACATAAGAACAAGAAATTTTATAAAATTCGCAATTTTAAATTGCTATAACTTTTTATTTTCTTGGTCAATTTTCACAGATCAAATTGCAGTTTATAGAACACTTAACAAGCTCGCAGTCAATGTAACAGACATTGCGAAGTACTCAAAATTATTAAAATAAAAACTAACACCATAAAACGAATGGCACGCATAGACTAATAATTGACGGCTGTACTCGCAACTGGTATCGGATTGTCGATGCCCATAGAGCTATTAAACAACTAGAGTGCTGACAAGATGGCGAAGAAATGCAGAGTTGTGTATGTGTACCATCCAAGATGGCCGCCGAAGGAAAGCCCCACCTTCAGGCTTAGTATACATATTATTACCATAGATAAGCCCTCTGACTGACTATTATTTCATTAATGATAATTAGTATTGATAATAACAAATTATTAAAACTATCGTAGCCAAAAAGAGGCCAAGTAGAGCATCTTATTCAAAAATTAAAAAAAAAACTAAACTGTACATTAGACCCATACACCACAACGCTCCAGTTTCAATCATACGGGTAACTAGCTGTACTGAACTTTCTGTGTAAATTGAGGGCGCCATTGAAAATGAGTGCTTAGCCGAAATTTGATTGGCTGAACTATGGCAGCCATCTGGATAGTACACACACACACACAGCTCTGCGTATTTCGAACGTCGAATACATTGCAGTTAGCGCTCTAGTATTCTTAAGCCTGGTCTCACGAGAGCTAACCGTTAGCGCTAACCTTTAGCACCTGCGTGAGAACGCCCGATTGGTTAGCGCTAACCGTTAGCGGTATCCGGATACGCTAACGGTTAGCAAGCGCTATCGGTTAGCAAGTTGGGCGTTTCTCTCATCAACCAATAACACGTACGCGTTTACAATTTCCAGTTTCTTATTGGCCAGTGATTCGATCATCTTATCGTTGGTATCCGGATCGGGATTTTCCCGCATAGACGCACGGCAGCTAACGGTTAGCAGGATCCGGATCCTGCTAACTGTTATCTGCCGTGTTGGTTAGCGTTGTTAGCTGCCGATCGGTTAGCGCTAACCGTTAGCGGTATCCGGATACGCTAACGGTTAGCAAGCGCTATCGGTTAGCAAGTTGAGGGCGTTTCTATCATCAAACAATCACACGTACGCGTTTACAATTTCCAGATTCTTATTGGCCAGTGATTCGATCATCATATTGTTGGTATCCGGATCGGGATTTTCTTGCATGGACGCACGGCAGCTAACGGTTAGCAGGATCCAGATCCTGTTAACCGTTAGCTGCCGTGTGAGAAAATAGCCTATATCTGTATGTTGATGCCACAGTAAAGATCAAAGGACTGTACGCACGCGCTATGTTCGAGAGCGGAGATGTGCGTCCTTCTGTTGAATTACCTTGGTTTGTCCATGGAGGTATTATTGAGAAGGAGATCACTCGGCAACAGATCCCTTTGACGCGACAAACCTATGTGTTCCCATAGAGCTATTAAACAACTAGAGTGCTGACAAGATGGCGGAGCAATGCAGAGTTATATATGTGTACCATCCAAAATGGCCGTCGTAGTAAAGCGCCACCTTCAGGCTTAGTATACATATTATTACCATAAATAAGCCCTCTGATTGAATATTATTTCATTAATGATAATGAGTAATGGTAATAACAAATTATTAAACTATCGTAGCCAAAACGAGGCCAAGTGGAGCATCCTATTCAAAAATAAAGTACCAAGAAATGAAAATTAAAATCGTGTAGATTACGCCTATACAC